GCTTCACCCTCGTGCTCGATTACTACCGTGGATACGTGATGTCTGGTTGTTCTGGAGTTGCGAAAGAAAGTGGCCCGCTTTCGTGGTGGTGCCTGGGATTTCCCTTCTTGCCCCTGAAAGGGGAAAAAGAAAGACTTTCTGGTTTGGGCTGGCTGGGAACCCTGTCGGTTTTCAGAAAACCACTGCAGGCTGGTTGACGATGGTATTCTCGATCAATCAGCTGAGTAGGAGAGAAGCGCGATCTCCTAATGACGACAGACACGGACCGTCGCCTAGTAGTCAGGTAGTATTTTTGGTAGTATTTTTTCACACCAACTAAAAGCCTTATGGCTCATGGAGGAGTATAAAGTACTTTCTTTGCCTGGAGTAGAAGATTAGGTCACTAGTGCCGGGGGCTGCGATCTACTCTTTTTGTAGGCACTCTGCATATAAAGACGACCGTGAAGGCCAGAATTTTCGACATTTCGAGTTTCAAGCCTCGACAAGGTTTCAAGAAGTACTCTTGTCTAGAACTATGATGCAAAGTGGCGGGATTCCTCTAACCGCTTCTCGGGATTCAGCTAGAGAGGCAGAAGGAATACTAGGGACAGATAACCCATAGATATACGGTGGCGATGATTATATGTACAACAGGTGAATATCACTAACGACCTGACAACGCTTAAATCAATCATCTCGAAAGAAGACATGATTCTAAGTAGTGTTGATGGGTACTTACCGTGCCTAGTATCCTATGTGGAGATGACTTCTTAGCAGCGGCTTGCTTTGTTTTCCTCTTTTTTAAGCCAAAGTCAAAAAAGCCAATATCTAAGACTGACTTTCAAAGGTCCTCATTACGTCCGTGGTAGATGGCCTTCACCTGAAGGATTATAATCCACAGTTTACAGTTATTCTGGAATGTCTCGACCATGGCTGATACCCAAAAAGTGGACCATCCTGTCTTCTACAGAGTCACTTGGGTACTGTACCTTACAGCAACTAATCTGGTAAGGCACCAAGGCAGGTTCACAGGTCACTGTACACAGTATATCCAGTGCGTCGGAAGGTGGTCCCGTAAGGTAGGCAGTAGCTAGTCCCAACCAATGGAAGCCGACCAGGGTCCCTCGGGGCCAATAGATGGGTTAATGCACACAATCCTGGCGACCATTGGGCAGCATTACAAGATCTTCCATAATCTGTTCGAGAGAATCTGCTAGAATCCAGCGAATAATGTGCTAATTAGCTGCCAATTTCCTTTCGTCGAGGACTTAGCACGTTCGCCGAATCGGAGGACACTGTGGCAGACTCAGCCAAGACCTCTTGAACGAACGTATTCCACCCGTCGCATTGTGGGATGGCAGCCACATGGGGTTTCGGTCGCCACTTTGGATTTGACTCTTCGTTTGTGGAGGCGCTATTATTGGCGAGGATTCACAGAGTACATCTGTCTTCCAATCTAATTGGCCACTCTAGTGTCAAATCCAAAAGCAGGTACGTAAGATCATTGAATCCTAGGTACGCTCTCAACTTCTATAGACAGATAGATACATGGGCTATCGAGTATTCGAGCATATCTTGATATTGTCGACAATCCAAGACTTGAACACTGAAATCCTGTTTCTAACAAGCCAGGGCTACCTATACCATACGACCCGCAATGCACCCAAAACGGGCTGCAACATCTCCCCGATAAGACCGTCTGCAGCAGTCCCATGGCCCAGCATCCACTGTCCCAGACTCCAATATCTCGACCTTCTCCACTTCATCCCAGATTTTGGGGCTATCAATAGGAACCTGGAGCAAGACATCTCAATTCCTGGAGGATAACATGAAGCCATCAACTAGCCGATCTCCTCGGACCGTGGTTCATACAGCGGCCTGTCAATGATCGCTCGGATCGGCCAGTATATCCTGCTGTAACTAGTTACACATATTAACCGGACAGCGTCAAGTTCGGCCAAACCTATGAGGTAATATCAAGATGCTCCGAAATCGGCGGTCACAATCCTAGTTCAACCAGACTTTCAGAGTCCTCTAGATCGAGGATTGGATCCTAAATCAGACAAGGCCCAAAAGACTGCTGCTGCTGCACCTCGATGCAGGTACCCTTGCATGCTGTAATAGCATTCAGCCAATCCGGGCTACAGTACAGAGCAATTGTTTTTAGCACCGCGGATGACTGCGTCAAGCAATCCGTCGATCCTGCAGAGTTGGAGCACTTAAATCATAGCGGTATGATTCAGGCAATGAGACTTCTTCTCAATGAGTGGCTTATCTGGTGATGGCTTCTTGTGCCCAATGATCCCAATCATACTGTATCTGCAGACTGGTCTTATTCGAAACTGGTCAGTGTCTTATCGAAGGATTGCAAAAGATAGCTACCACCGGTGCTGAAAGTACTTTTGACATTGCTAAGTATCACTAAATTACGAATACTAGGACTTAAATGCTAACCCATTTCCACAACCCATCCGTGACAACGCCAAAACTCAGAGAAAATAACGCTACCATGCTTCCGGGCTTAAGTGAGCTGATCTCAAAAGCCAAGAAAGATATATGCAAGACGCCGTCAAGGCTGAGGAGCATAGAGAAGACCGAAGCGGAACTAAACGGGAAACATCGGAGGCCCCTGGTGCCAGCCGACTGTGCCGTTTAATGAAAAAAATGGGGAAGAAAAGCAGACGAAATCAAGGTGCAAGGGTATTGAGAGCACTGAGAGACGGGAAACTCGTATATGCCGATAATCAGTGGGGTGTGGACGCTGGGCTGCAGTAACGAAAAACTCGGTATCAAATCTGTCCTTTTATATCAACGACTCTGTGGGCTTCAGACTTGGCCGCCTCGAAGAGTTGCGCAGCCCTGCCGCTCGTGAGCAGCCTCACGGATCCATCTTTCTCTTGGAGTAAATCCTCAGAGGCATGGTCCAGGATAAAGCGTGCACTCTGTTCATCGGACTCAAAGCCAAGTTCCTCAGTGATAAAACGTATCTTTACGTCGGGTTTGTAACTGTTGTCATCAAGTCAGCCCGCAAAGAACAGCACACAACGAGCAGAAGAACACTTACGCTTTACAGATGGCTGCAAGTGCGGAAAGTCGCTCGCGGTCCACAAACATGTCCATCAAATAAGCCCCCATATTAGGGGTGTCGAGGTAGAGCTGGAAGAAGCGATGATAGTTTCCCAGGGCAAGGGCTGAGCGAACATCCAAGGCATGTTTGACAGCAGGATCACGCTTGTCTGCTGCTGTTAGATCGGCCAACGCATCGTTCATAGCCGTCCAATTGCGAGTGTGGATGAAATAAAGAATACGATACGCCTTAAATTCTGTAGGATGCCCACCGAGATTTTGGGCATATAACGCTCGCAGCTGTGTCTGACATTGATTATACTCACCAAGATCTCCCTTCTCGAGCGCAATGCGGGCATGAATCTCATAGACACTGACAGTGAACTCGTTTCTGATATGCTGGACAGTCAGATCTTGTCGCAGAGACTTGAACTGGTCGCAAATATATCCATAATTGTTATCCTTCTTCCATTTCTTTTTCAGAAGATCCAGGGTCTTGTGCAAAACATGCAGCGGTCGAACGGTGTCTGGATTTGGCGCTGAAGTCAAGCGGAAGTAGTTCTTCTCTAGCTCCTGGCACCGTCCAACAACAGGTCCCTGATTGGCACTGGGCGCTGGGGATTCCCCACGAGATGAGGATGGCGAAGAGCCATACCTGGTCCGCGGTTCTTCGAAACGTTTCCTCCGCATTTCCAAATTAGCTTTTGACTTACTGGGGTTCTTATGATCCACACGCTGGCGCTTGTCTGCTGAGGGATAAGTAGTTCGATCTCCAAATGCATGATGGTTGTTAGTCTGCCTCCATGGTGGACAGATGTCTTTGTCCCCGTACTCAGCCGATTTCCTTTTCCTAGAAGCGTCCTCGGTCACGGTGTCCGGTTTCTGAGCAGCAGTTAAAAGAGAAGCACTCCAACCAGAGACAGCAGGGTTGGTAAGGATCTGGTTCCGCTCGTTTTGAATCATGACTTGCGGTAGGGGCAATGCATCCCAGTTGATCTTCTCCAGCTGACTCTTCTCTGCCGCCTCAGTAATGACACCCTTCAGTTTCACCTCCATCTCCTGCCGGTTGACTCCAGGAAGTTGGTTCTCAGGCGCGAAGCTTCGTTGTACATATGATCGAAGGGGGGCTGGCCATTCTACTCGTTTGCGAGGTGCTTGAGTTGTCGTTGGCTGCGGCTGAGGTACCATGGTGGTGGTAGAGGTATGAGCAAAGCTACGGCGTGCTTGAACAGGGATATATGCAGGGGTTGCTAAGTCACAGTTAGAAATTGAATAGGTAAAGATATTAGAGTAAGAAGACACATACCATGTGCAGGAAAGTGAGGGGCCGTAGCAGTCGCGGACGCGGTAGCACGCCAAGGTGGGATACCGGAACTCATGACGGCAGAAACGTGTACAAAAGCATAAACAAAAATAAAGAAAAGTAGGAAATATTGTTATAGGAGAAAAGTATATCAGAATCGAGAAGAGAAGAAGAAAAAGGATTAGACTACGCGTTGCCTGGGTCTCGAGGAGAGTGATCGAATTTCCTCATACACACCAGTAAGCTGAGAAGTTGGCCAGGTCACCTCAAAACTTATATGGTTATGGGAGATAATAAGCCAACTAGTAGGTGTTGGTGAGTGAAGTTGAGTAGATGAAGCTGTCTTAGTGAATAGATGTCGCTTTGACCACTAGGTCCAAGTGCAAAAACTGAGACCTTTGAAGAAAGGAAGGAGGTCCAAGGTTCTCGCTTACTCTCTCTGGGCTGGTGTGGCGGAGAGAATGTGAGGATGCGCTGATGGTTGTTCTCGCTACCTGTATCTTCCTATCAACTGCGCGTTGCCCTTAGCCCACCTTACGTCAGCGGGGTGAGTCGAGATGGAGCGAGACTTGGGCTACTTTCTGGAATTGGACTTACTTGTGTATTCTCTTCACAGTTAAGAGGGTGGAGAGATGCTGGCTGAGCTTACTAGATGTTCTTCAAGTCTCTAGATCTGACCACTGCACTCCGTCCCTCATTATTGCCCGATGAGACTTTGCTCTTCGTCCAGGATGCGGTGGGGTTATATGAAGGGTGAGTTGCCAGCAAGCTGTTCCCCAGTTATTCCTTGCATATGCCACTGCTTTGACATCCCGAAGCTTACTGGCGAGTATTGTTCGTATATACAGAAAGTTCAAGGTCCCAAATTATCAAAATGGCCATGCGTACCTCACATCCCACCGAGTCTGCTATGTCGCTGTTGACGAGCCACGCAAGTACTCAGTCGCCATCGACTTGGAGGAAATCGACCGAGCGGATTACCAAGTATGGTTGATGCTTGAGCCCGTACTGTCATTTGCTCCCGAGCTCACCCTTTTCAGGCAGGGTTTCTGAAGTCGTCTTCGAAAATTCTCTTGCACCCGAAACCCGCAAAGAATGACCTCAAATCGAAGAGCGTAGGGGCTGGCCCCTCTGCATCACAGTCTCCAACGCTCCAGTCCGGGAGATTGCAGTCTCCACTCCCGGCAACCCCATACAAGCAGCCGGCACCGAAGCCTATGAACGCGACCTGGGTCTGCCCGATATGCTCGTTCACTAATCCGGTACCTTCTAATTTCGACCCAGCAACGGCTACTGCTTCTACTCCCTTGCCGCCATGCTTGGCTTGTGGCATAAAGCCGCCATTTACGACCGTTCTGAAGGCCGCAATCACAGCTGCCGCTAGCCGCGAAGCCGCGCAAGTACATCCAGCTTCACATGAGCCTGGTCAACCCGGAAGCAATGATGATGAAATCGTACGCAAGCCTAATGCCTCGACACCGTGTCCCAGATGTACATTTGTGAACCATCCCTATCTTCTGGAGTGTGAAATATGCGGGGCTCCCCTAGCCTCCGCAGTCGCCCGAGGAGCTTCTGTTGAGGACTCACGCCGATCAGAATCCCCAGCGCCGGTATTCGGACAAGGAAACATCGCCAATACTGAGACTTTCGAGGTAGTCAAATTATCCTTCCGCGGAGGCGGTGAAAAGACTTTCTATGAAAGGTTGAAAGGCGCCTTGGTCCAGCGAAAGTGGCTGCTCTACGATGCGCCTCCTGTTCCGCAGCAGCCATCGCAATCGCCTGCCACGCCAAATCTTACAGCCTCTAGTGCTGTTGCTGCCAATGTTTCCGCGCCAGCCCAACCCCGGTCCCCCGCAGTAGGAATCGCGGGGCTTGAGCAGCGGGGACTTGAGGCTCGTAGAAACAACGAGGTGGTAATAGGCAGCTCGTTTGAAGATCTTGAAGCCTTGATGGCGTCTGCTAAACGGATCATCAATCTTGCTGAAACGCTCGCCAGGGAATCAGGTATGGCCGGTGACGAGAATTCTGCAGCAACCAACGCAGTGCTCTCAGAATCCGCTGCCGCTCTTGGGATGACCACGACCAAAGATATGCTTGGCTCTGGTGCCGAGAATTTATATCTCTCCGAACTTTCACGGGACTTGGCGGAGTACCTCACCGACGATAGAAAAGGTATCTTACAGAAAGAAGGCGGTATCATGAGTCTGATTGATCTTTGGGCGATGTTCAACCGCTCCCGAAATGGGGTGGAACTAGTCAGTCCTTCTGACTTCCAGAAAGCAGCAGAGCTCTGGGAGAAACTGAAACTACCTGTTCGGCTGCGGCGATTCAGAAGTGGTCTTCTTGTTGTTCAACGCTACGACTGGAGTGATGAGAAGACCATTCGGCAACTGCAAGAATGGATGGCGGAACTTCGTCAGATACCGCCCGCCGATCCAGTACCGTGGGACTGGCGTCAATTTGGGCGTGCCGTGACAGCACAGGAGGCTGCTCAAAGGTTCAAGTGGAGTGTCGGAGTCGCAGCAGAAGAGCTAGAAATGGCTGAGGATAAAGGTGTCCTATGTCGTGAGGAAGGCATCGAAGGGTTAAGATTCTGGAGCAACTACATCACATCTGACCTTTCTTCGATGAATAGCATTGATTCGATTGATTCGATGGTGTCAAGCATGGCCATATGAAGGAGTTCTTTTGTACGTATTCACATAGCGTATTCGTTAACATGGGCCCTCTTATCAAAATGACGCCGTTATGACCAAGAGAGATAAATCTTCCTTATTGAAGCAGCTGCGGCCTCGCTCTAGTTATAGATATAACCACAAATAAATTGTGCCGCTATTCTTATGGAAGTCTGCCTTGTGGCGAAATCTTACGGAGAGTTGACATTTGGTTCATTGAAGCTATCTACCCCGCATGGCTTATCTACGAGCTCTCTCCGCCCCTTGGGGAAGCTCCCTCGCTCCTCATAGCTAGACTAATTCATCATCTCTGTTGTGACCTCCATTGTCAAGGTTGGTCTCCATCATTTGTTATTTTCTCTAGTGCTTGGCTCCAGCGCGGACTTTTAAAGAGAGCTTTAACCTGTGAAAGCTGCTGTGATGTGAGGGTCTAGATCGTTGGCTGTCATAACGCAGTCAGGTATGACTGCACCTTCATTATCGAGAGATCTGATAAGTTAATCCAGTTATCTCAAAGGGAACGTTCAAAATGGCATATACTTCACTGCTATCGAAACCTAAACATTTGAGGTGCTCGAGAGCCATTTCAAGATATTCTCAAGTTCCATACGTCACTTACCCCAAAGTGTCAAGCACGACTTCAGTTCAGAGCCGAGGGATATGGCGATATACATACCATCGATATGGGAGCAGAAGCTCTGACGAAAGAAGGAGGTTAGAAAAGCATATGCGCCATAGTCCTTCGAAGCTAAGAGATCGACGAATTGGTCACCGACAACGATCACAATCTTTATTTGATGATCATCGTCCGTGGTGGAATTCTGGCTGGGGATGGAGCCGGTTGAAATTCAGCGTTCCTACAAATTGGAATGAACATGCGCCCAGAAACGACTATTGGGAAGCACGAAGGATTCGTTTGGAGCAGAGGATGGAACAAATAAAGAAGGAGATCGAGGCGGATCCTTACGAGGCTTTATTCGGGAGAAGGCTTGACCCATTCAAGTATTGGGGCAAGCATGAGAATATTTTCTCTTCCCTGTTCGGGTCTCTTTTCGGTCACGGGTCAAAGGCAGAAGCCGAGCTTAAAATGACTGATACGACTGCGCGCGCGAAGACTGATGCCGCGCATTCATCTGATCCTCGACCTAGTGGCAAACAGTCAGCAAGCCTCAGAAGCGAGGTCAACGCATATAAGCAGCCGGCGAAGGATGATATTGGAGACTATGAGTTTGACCCCATCACCGGCCGCATGGTCCGGAAGAAGGGGGAAACCTGTGAGAGGTCTCAGGATAGCCCGTACACGGAAACTCCCAATTCATCGATTCATTCAAATACAGTTCAAAGTGAGAGCGCCCAGAGTGCTGGCTTCCTCTCCCCGGTAGACCGCTCAGAAGCGCACCCGGACGCTAAAGGGGTTACAGGGACTGCAGCCCATGAGAACACCGTGCAATCTGAAATAGTCGATGACCCGAGCCCTCAAAGTACCACACAAGGCCCAGGCGAATTTGCCTATGGCGGCAGTATCTTACCTGCGAAGCCAGGCAATTCTAATGAAAACATCCTCAAAGAGCCAACTGAGCCTCGGAACACAACTACGGCTTCTACAAAGGGAGTACCGGCATCGGAGATTGAAACGGCTAACGTGCCGTTATCAATTGACAATCCTCGTTTAGAGGCGGACAATGTGCCTCCCTCCGCTATTAGCCATCAAAATGAAGGGTCATCAGGCGTCCCAACGGAAACAAAAGATCCATTAGCTACACCACATAGGACATCGCACAGGCTTAACCAGCAGGAAGAGTGGGTTACACAGGCAGAAAAGGCTGAAGATCTGGATATTCTACGCGCCAGTGACATTCGCACACCGTACGAGCTGAAGGACAAGGATGGAGATCCGGAAGAGCAACTAAGGGACAAGCGGCGCAAACTGGACCTTGCTTTTGAGATGGCCGAAGACCCAGTCAAGAACATAGATGCTCAAAGAATTCGGGAGAAGTACAAAATCCATGAAGCTTCCAAATCAAAGGAGACGGTTTTGGAGCCACTTGACTCAGGAAAGGCTCAATTGCACTCTCAGAGTTCGATGACTGCAAGTACCTCCTTTCCTCGTTCTCAAGAAGACTTTCGCAACGTAAGGACCGATCCAAATCACGAAGCCGAGGGGGCGCACAATCAAGTTCAAGTCTCTCCAAATCATTCTTGGGCAACAGCAACATATCGTGTTTTTGTATATGACCCCTCTACCTTGCAGGTGGTGGAAGCAGAGACAAGCTCCTCACTGCAGTCGACCGATAAGCTACTTTCACCCGCGGAAGTCCTTTCTCGTCTGAGCCACCCTGCGAAGTTCGTACCGTACCTTGCTAAAATGCACGATGACGGGTATGAAATTGTCTCTGGCGGCGAGGATATCATTGTCTTTAGGAAGGCTTCCGAGAGTGGCTCAGTTATGCGTTCGAAGACCCCAAGTCATGGTGGTTCAGCAGGACGACTCACCTCCCCTCAATCAGACTCCGGTGAAAATATTCGAGCGGCGACTGCTCCTTCTGACTCGTCTTCCAGCCCAGCCATCATGAGCACTGCTGATGCGTCAAAAGTCACTGATCATGCGAAGGCTTGGTCCAGAGTTCGAACAGCACTCCGTAGGATGCTCATCAGTGGTGTAGCGACGGCGGGAACGTGCTACGCTATTGGTGTCGTTGTCGAGTATTTTCGCACCGGGGGGCAAGACGGACTGGGTATTGATGGATTCACCGAGTTCGAGTCTGAAAGGCGTCGCAGAGACCGAGAATAAGGGTCATTTTGGTTATTACCGAATGTGAAGCAACAATTTGTCACAACATTGCGATCATATTTTGGTGTTTGTACAGAAATATCACAACTCTATATTTACTTGCCTTCTGTTTCGTCTATGGTGTCCTATCAAATGGAATGTTGCAATGTCGCCAAGTCGAGCTGATTGATTCAGAATAGCTAACTCTACCAGGAGCACGCTGTCTAGGCTACATTGCCTTGGGACAAGCAAGGACCGGCATCCTTGGTCTACAAGTCATCGTCGTCGAGTGAGCTATCTTTCTCCTCCTCCTGCCACGCAAAGTCTTCGCACGGCTTACGCCAACCTTTGAATCCTCGAAAGCGATCATGGATGGAGCTTCGCCTCTTTCCCTTTGTTTTGGCCTTGTTCTGTTCCTCCTCACGCTTCTTCCTTTCGGTCTCTTCCAACTCCTTCTCTTTCTTTGCTAGCTCCTCTTCCTCAATCGCCACCCTTTTGCGAGTGTCATGTAACTCCTCCAACTCATCGTCTGATTCTCCATCAATAGGGTAATTCTGGAACGCCTTCTGCAGAACACCGCAACGAGCCTGCCCGCTCATCATGTAGATGAACAGAGCCACGATCATCTTGATGGCGGCTCGAAAATCTTGCTTGCGCCAGAGGTCAAATTCGCGGCTGCCCAAGACTCGAAGATTACGTGGGTTTGGATCATTGTCCAGATTCTTTGCGCTAAGCCACTCCACCTGTTGGCGAAGTCGTTCCAGGTTCTTTCCAGTGTAGAATCGATCGTAGGCAGTGCTCGGATTGGGGTCTATCACATCGGCGTCTGAGGAGGAACGGTTATGTCTTCCGCTCCAGAGATGGGACGTTTTCTGGCCGAGGAAGATGGCACGAAGGATATGCAGCCTGGAGCCGTGGATGCCAATCAGATAAACCTCCTGGTCCGGGATCTGATCCCCATGGGGCCGCAGACGGGAGATGTTAAGAAGGAGCTGGCCAAGCATGAGCTTGAGCTTGTCCTCGAGGGCCGATCTGAGAGATGTGTTTTCCAACGACTACAAGCAATTAGCCATCTGAAACGACTTGTTAGGGATTTTGGGTAAAGCTTACCGCTGACACGGGCAGAACTGTAGGGCAGACCTTCTTATCGGGATGGTGATCCAAGCCGACCAGTCCCGCTGTGAGAGGACCATCTTTGTATCTCTCGCTGTATCCGATCCAATACTCTAACTGGCAGTTGAGTAGCCTCGTCCTATAGCCGCTGTGAGTGCAAGCGCCGGGAATGACATGCCATGGAGAAGCTACTGACCGAAAAAAGAAGTAAGAGTCGCTGTCATCCGTCTCTCTGGTGATTTTGATCGCTTCCAAGATCGCTTGCAGAAGAGCATACACGACTTGTCCCTGAAGTTTGACCATCTCATCGAACTTAGGCTTGGACTTGCTTCCTCCTGCGTCTGTTGTACCGTACCCCTCGTCCTCGTCTTCATCTTCGTCGTAAAGAGAGCCGAACTCGGGAAGTTTCCTGAGGGTCATGAAAACGCTTCGAAAGCGGATGTCGACTGGAGACCATTTGTTTATGTCCACGTCGCGGGCATCGTCGGCATTGCGAAAGCACCAAGGTGTACGCTGAACAATGACTAAAGACACATCAGTCAGTGACTTCCTCTGTCAGGACATCTTGAGACAGACAAAACATACCAGTTGTCTCAGCTTTCTTCAGATAGTAACTAGGGATTATTCTATCGTCAGGAAGATCCAGGAAGAACTTTGCAGTCAAACCATGTACGCAGACCTCGACAGGGCTCTTGGACTCGGGAGCCGGTTCTGGTCCACGCATTTTCTTCCAGTCAGGCTCCCAGTCCGGAATGGGCTTCCAATTCTCAGTCATCTGGAGAGCTAGATTTGGGAGTTCTGGAAATTCTGGAATGGTTTCCATGCGTGAGCGATAGCGAGCCATTTTTCTGGCGGGTCATGTTCCGGATCATTCTGGTGAGAGACCTGAGGGCTGGTGTTGGGTTTGAGTAGGAGGGCATCTTGCACATTCACACATTCACTGCTGCTCTAGACGTGCAATGATGTGAGAGTGTTATGATATAGGCACTTTGTGCACGCATACTTCCAGGCCCTCTGTTTACTTGCTTTTAGTATATTAGTATTTTGCCTTGAGGTAGATATAGATATCTACAAGAGTCTAGACTCTTCAACGAATGAGGACATCCCTGATTTGAGGCCA